TCGGCGAACCCGAGAATGGCTATTAAAACTATTCGCATGTCGCTCTCGAGCCCCAAATAGGGGACATTACGGAACGCAATGGAGATTCGCACCCAGCAAACACGGGTGAAGCCGTGCAGTTGCTGGGGGCGAACAAAAATCGGCGTAAAACCACAATCCACACAACAAGCAGGGGCGTAGCTACCGCGGTATCAGCCGTAGCAATGATACGGGGCCCCCGGCTAGGGGGGGCACCGATTGGCTACGACATGCGTAAGTAAAAAACATATTACCCACATGTTATATAATATTATTATTTAATTTAATTTAATTGTTTGCTCATCACTATTTTTACACTTAAATAAAGAAGAGATTACCAAACTACAAGAAATACAAAAAAGAAAGCAATGCGCTTCATACTTAAATGTAATAAATACACATCAATTAAAAACATGCTTCAAGTTTTAAGGCTATGTTTATTGAGCGTTGAACAAATTGTATTGTTTGGGACATTTAGGGCCGTATGCAGAAACGTTGATTTATTTCAATCAACTGATTTACGCATATCCACTAATTTAATTTTGAACCAATTTGGCAACATAGCAAATTTTAAATGACAGTTAAGTACAGTAAAGATTTGTACATATACTTAAATACGTGTTTATTACATTATAAGAGTGATACATTTTTAAAATGTATTATTAAATATACACATTAATACATTTATAACTGACTAAACCTTATTATTGACAAAAACTTGGCTTTGAAGAGAATTGCGGCAAAATAAAATACAACCATTGGGTTATGTTCGCAGTTTGCAATGTGTTTTGTTAAAAGTACCTAAATTTGCATTAGAAGGTATGAAAAACGAAAATTAGGGCTTAAAGCCTCTGAAAATAACAAAGAAATTTTGTTGAAGTTGGTGGAAATTCTACTCAAGTGTTTGTAAAAGATTAATTAATTATATTATAATTATAATAATATATATAATATAATATATATATGCAATATATAAATGCAATGATGCCGAAGACATCGGGAGGGAAAAAAGAATTTGTGACAAGAATATAAAAAAATTAAGAAACAAAGTCTAGAGGATAACATATATGTTAGTTAATGCTTGATATTTATGGCTTCAGAATAAAGTTTTTTTAATCAAAAAGAGGTGCTATAAAATGGGTGGGAGGTGGAGTCTCGAAACTGTTTAGCATGCATATAGTTTACCCTTGCCTGCCCCCCTGAACAAAATCCTGGCTACACCCTTGCTGGAAATGGGGCAAGAATCCCTGCTTTTCTAAAAGGTTAAATTAAACCCAATTTAAAAAAATTTGCATGCCTTATACACTTTGTTTTTTAAATAATTTATATTGAAAAATATAGGTATAGAGATGCGACTTGAAAAAATACGGTCTGTTTTTTTTCTTTTTTTTTCAGGTTTTTTTTCATTGTTTTTTTTTCATATTTTAGTTTTTTTTTGAAGATTAGTCCCATTTGCCTAATTTTTTATGTTTACAGTCCAGTTCATGGACTAAAATTAGCCACTAAATGACATTTAGTAAATGTAAATACAGTCTCGCGCTTTGCACGCGCCACCACCACCGAATTGACCAATAAGGGCCGCGCTTGTTTTGATTTGGTCCTAAAAAAAGTAACTACCTATAATAATTTTGATTCAGCGCTTGATTTTTCAAAAAGTTACCAAAAGCACTTTTTTCATGATTTTTCAAATTCATGTAAAGTATGGAAATTTTTTTCAAAAAAACCATAGCAAATTCTTGTAGAACATTTATTCATTGGTGGTTAAGTCAGAACATTCCGTGGACCAAAAAAGAAATCCAAAAAAAATTCGAATTTTTTTATTACGGCATTCGTTAGGATTAAGCGTTGCACGTTTTTCATCTAAAAATCTCAAAACTAGAAACTTCAAGCTTCAAATTGCTTTTTTTACGGCTCCAATACTACCATTTTTAACGAAGATACAGCTATCCGAAAAACCGCATAAAATTTGGAATTTTTTTTTATCCTTTAATTTTTTCCATTAGTGTAGAAGTTTTACATTGCTATTGGTTTCTTATGTGGAAACTACCAAATAATAAGAAATCAGATTTTATAGTCTTGGTCAAAATTTTCAATAATGTTAAAAGTAATATATTCTACATTTCACTTTATTATTAATATACATTTTACTTAAAATTTCATTTTGAAAAATTACTCCATTTTATAACATTGATGTTATTTATTGACAGAATATGCTTTATTGTAGCAGTTTTGAAAAAAAAAACAAAAAAAACCGTTTTTTTCATGTTTTTTTTCACATCTGAAAAAAAATCGTTTTTTTTACATTTTAAAAACTTATTTTAATAAAGCAAATTTTAAAATTTAACTGTTGCAGTTCTAGTCCAGATTTTTTTACCCTGTGTATTTTATTTTAAATATTGTTTCAGAGCAAATGTTTAATTATTTGCAAATGCAAAAAAATGATACCCTAAAAAAATTTTTAATGTTGTTTACAATTCGTGTGCTTTGGGTTAGAGCGGTTTATACAGATTAAAAATCGTTTTTTACCGTTGTGTTTCCTACAGAGGCAGTTGTAAGCTTCAAATGCACTTTAAGGCCTTTTTAAGGCATACAAGTGCCTCTGTAAGAAACACAACGTTTAAATCGATTATTAATCTGTATAACCAGTACAAACCCGAAACACAGGAATCGTAAACAACATAAAAATGGCCGCCGTTAGGGTCTGTGCAATTGGGTGCCTAACTTCGTGATTTTTAGTATGCGCGAAATGAGATAGAACAGACCTTGTTTTGTGGATTGTAGGAAAAACTATAAAAAATCACTTTTGACGTCCTCTACCGGCTAAACAAAGCAATTTCTATAATCAACTTGACTTCAATCGATCTATTTTAGGAGTCTGTCATCAAAGTTTGATAATCAAACGTTGTACATACATTAAGACTTATAGACAACCTAAATAATTTATAAAACAATTAAATGTAACAGCAAGAACAATACAACACACTAAAAGCAAGAAAACATTTAACAAATAAAGAAGGAATTGCAGTTATACTTATTTATTAAAAAATAACTTGGGTTTATTGGTTGAGAAGCTGATGGTTAATCACCACTTTACGCATTTGTCTTAATGTCACTAAGACAATGGCAATAGTATTTGTAGGCAACTTTGAACTCGAATATATTTTTTTGTGTTGAGGTTTTGAGCTAAACTTTTTGCATATTTTGTCTATTTATACTTGTTTTTATGAGTCATTTAACACTAATAATAGTTTGTTGTTGGCCGCAAGAATAAAAAACGACGTCAAAATTACCCATTGCCCTTTGGTATGCATTTATATTTAATTAAAATACCTTTTTGTTTAAACTCATCCCCAACATGCTTAATTGATTTTTTCTGATCATGACATCAGAAAAAAATGTGGCCTTTTAAACTTCATAATTAAATTAGATTTATTTGAGTATTTACTATAATTTTGTGTTATTAAGTATAAATAATTTATATTTTACACAAGAAAGTAATAAGAAAATATAAAAAAACTAGGTTGTAGAGTTCACTAATAGGACATTTAAAAAGTAAAATTCTGAATAGTTTTCAAATAAAAAAATATAAAAGATGCGTGATCAATATCAAAGCAATCTGTTACTTATTATACTTATTTGTAAGAAAAGGGCATTCCCCGGAAATGGTTGCGGCAGATGACTGCAGAAGATGCTGTCGTTTGTCGTGTGTTTTAAATTCATCTCGAGGAAGAAATAGTATATTACACTACAAGGGCAGAAAGTGTGAGATTCCTGCCTTCGCCTCGGGATCATGGCGCGCATTTCAGGGCTCTCACACTTTCTGCCCGTGTAGTGTATACTATTTTTCTTACTACCTCGGCCGAAAATACGGGAAAAAATTAAATGTGTATATCGAAACATATTGATGCCTGCCCAAATTTTGAGGTTATATTAGTGTCGTAATCAGAGTTGCATATGTTGAACACACGACTAAAAAATGTTTACTCCCGCTATTATAGAGTGTGCGCGTATAGCTTGACCAATGCAAGAAACGTAAACTTTCTGCCGTGGAATCGCGGAAGAAACAACGTATTTTCAGTCGAGGTAGTAAGAAAGTGTTTTTCTGGAAACATAAGCACCCAATTCCGTATTTTAACAGTTAACAGTACTAAAAACTAAAACTGTGCAGCTAAGCTGTCAAACGACGATTTCTAATAGAAATCTCCCATTTTTCTTGTGCCTGGAAGTATTTTGGTCCAACCTTAAGGTTGAATTGGAGTTTGTATGCTACTATGGTGTCTTTAAGACACTCTAGATGGCGGCACTTGTCATAAATTGTTTTGTTTATTTTTTGTTTTCATGAAAAACAAACGCTTTTTAATAAATATTGAATTTTTTTTACAATTAAATAAAAATATTTTTTTTTCTTTCAATTTGAAAAAAACATTTTTTACATCACTATTTATTAGTCACAATAAGACAATATTTAAATTCCACTAAAACTTCAGTAAGATGTGATATTTTTTATCTTATCTATGGTATAGAACATGTATTAATTCATAGATATATCTTATAAAGTAACAAAAAATAGGTATATTTTTTCCATAATAAACAATTATTGTTGTTAGACTGTGTCCACCCAAAATTATCAATCTTACAATCCTACTGAAACTTTGTTAATGTCTTATTAGTGGACTTAAACTACAAGCTAGAATTTGTTATTTGAGGTATTGATATGGTAATTGGCAATATCATTAAAGCATTATATCTTGTTTATATTGAAAGTGATTTCACATAATTATATACAAATTACTATTCACAAATGGGAAATAATCAATTTTTCCAGAAGGATCTTTCATGTGAAACTGGAAATCATAGGAAAAAATGGGCCGTCGCCTCAGGCCCCTATGAACACAGGGCCTGAGGCGTCCACCTAGTATGGACCTAAACACATGTAACCTTAATTACTATTTAATTTGGGCAATAGATTTGGTATTACATACCTCCAAAAGTCTTCTACGGTTTGAAAGGATACAATTTCTTTTTGGTTTTTTTCCCATGTCTGGGTTCTATCGTTTTCATAGTACCAAAGTGTCCAACAGTTTTGCAACGGGTGTTTAATCGAATAATCCATTTGTTCTATTTCGTTTATATCACTTTTCTGGTCATTCTTTTCGTTCTAGAACAAAAGCATTGGTAAATAAACTTAAGTAATAATTAATCTCACAGTTGACTACAGTTATATAAAATTAAAAATCACTTAAAACGGGACCACAATATGGCAGATAACCAAAGATTTTGATTTTTTCGTTGCCCGGCAATAATAAAGCAACAAATACATATAGGCCACAACAATAAAAATGTATTTTAACAAATAAATAATAAGAATTTGTTAAATTTACCTCAATTTCCACTGAATTCGACATTTTGATAGCCGAGCTGCAAGTCTGTAAAAGAACGACAGTCAGCTACTACCAACATAAAAAACTAAAAGTAACCATGTTCTTGAAATTTCAGGTTAGAAATGTAACTAACTTTTAAATCTTTTATAATTAAATTAGGACTTAGATTACTTAAATATCCATTTTGTTGCATACAAACTCACATAAAAATTAACACAATAAAATCAGAACATTTCTAAAAACAACTTTTATATTTAAATCTATGATTAATTTTGTGTGGGAGTTTTAAAAAGTGTGTAGGTACTCACAGTCATTTTGGGGCCCCGTTTTGAGTCTTTTAATACTTTTTAAGCATTGTGTAAGCAAATGATATGTTTGTGGATTGACTTACGGAAATATTAAATGTCAAATATTGTTACTAAGAAAATAACATCAAAAAGTTAACAATCAGAGAAAAACAACAATTAAAATTACCAAAATAGCTTTTACCTTTTTGTATGATGGATATGGAATTTTAACCATTATTTTAGAATTTACAACGTGGTTGAGAATGCGCGCAAGTTTACTGGTTTTTATTTCATTTTTTTTTAGAAACAAAAAATATTTTATGAACATCAACTACCTATATAGGTAGGTACCTACCTACTAACCTAATCAGTTCGTTTAAATTTAAATTATTTGGATACAGGGCTGTTCCATTATAATGAAATATTTGTTATACAAGGTACACCTTTTTAATGGTAGCCGAACTGTTTAATCGATAAATTGCATCAAATGTTACAAAAACCTAACCTCAAAGTTTGTATGGGACAATAAGCTTAAAGCAACCCCCGTATCTACGACACTGTGTTCACTCAAACAATTGTAATTATGTGTGAATATGTGTTTTGGTAGTAAGTGACTGTTCGCAAAATATCACCTTTTCAAGTCTACCATAGTAGAAGTTATATTAAAAAAACTGGTATGATAAGGCTTTCCTTAGGACAGACGTGTGCTAGCTGGGTTTAATCGTTTAAATAATCCCAGCAAACCAAATCATGTCACAGTGATATAACATTTACATAAAAATTGTTCCTTACTATGCAACAGCTATGTCACCTATATGTAATGGCAATGCTCCTATGTCCGCCTCAAGACGCCTTCCTGGGTATGTAACTGTGATGTAACAGTGTTTTATCATAGTTATGTAACTGTAATGTTACAGCGCCATATCAGTTATGTAACAGTGATATAACATTTACATAAAAATTGTTCCTTACTATGCAACAGCTATGTCACCTATATGTAATGGCGATGCTCCTATGTCCGCCTCAAGACCCCTTACTGGGTAATACCCAGTGGGTATGTATCTGTGATGTAACAGTGTTTTATCATAGATATGTAACTGTAATGTTACAGCGCCATATCATAGTTATGTAAACGTGATAAAACAATTATATTCTATTTATATAAATGTTGCATTTACTTATTTATATATAATTTATGCAATATTTACATATTATTTATGAAATATTTATAAATATAATTACATGTAATATATTATCTTACTGGTATTAAAAATTGCTTAGCCCTAACTTGGTATTATGGCAAATTTTTTGAAAAAAAATCAACAAAATTTTAAAATTGCCATAATACCAAATTAGAACTAAGAAATTGTTAATACCAGTTAGATAATATATTAAATAAATTATAAATAAATATTACATAAATAATAAGTAAACATTACAAAAATAAATGATTCTGAAAGAGATTAAAAAAAAACAAATTGGTTTAAATGTTTATTAAAAATTATTTTAATTAAAAAAAAACAAATCATTTCTTCTTTCCAACTTCTTAAAACAAACGAAAAGTTTTTCCAAACTTTAACAAAAAAAAATCCTGAATACATTAATACTTCAAAGCTAAAAAATATATGGTAAAAAAGATAAAGCAATCTCATGAATTTAATATTAATATACCTTATTTTCATTGGTTTTTTGCTTCCCTACCATATCTTTGTTTGGCCTGCCGGAACCATTCGGAAACTATGCCTTCAAAATTTTTATCTGTCGAAGTGCACACAGCAGCTTAAAAAAATTTATTTAATAAAAAATCCCATAAAATTTACATTTTTACCCTTTAATATTTCAACAGATTTTAAATTTTGAATTTTATTGTTATTTCTTAGCCCCAGCCAAGAGCAATCTTTTGCCAAATTATTTGAGAAAATTTTCTTTAGAACTCTTACTGTGGCATCTTTCGCTGAGACGCCTCCAATTTTTGTTATATACTGAAACTGAAAAAAAATACAATTTAATATTATTTTTGTTTATTGATTTGTTTTCAAAACAAAGAAAAACTATTCTTTATGTAGTTTTGTAAATGATATTTGGTACAAATAATAATTTGTTTGATTTTATTAATTCAAGTCAAATGCACCCACCCTAAGAGATATAAAAATAATGAAAAATATGGAATTTGCAAAAAATTAATTGTCACAACAATTATAATAAAAAAGTGTATCCATCTTGGTTAACCAAGATGGATACACTTTTTTATTATAATTGTTGTGACAATTAATTTTATGCAAATTCCATATTTTTCATTATTTTTATATCTCTTAGGGTGGGTGCATTTATTTAGCAAAATTATTGTATCAGTTGAAAAAACAGTATAAAGTTAAAAAATTATAGAAATTAAACTCTTATTTTGGCTACCAAATATCATTAAATTATAATTTGTCGCTTGTTTTTTAGCACCCTGTTTTAAAAACAAATTAACATTATCAAACAGGTTTAAAATCGCCCTTTATATACTTACAAATTCAGCCTCTACTTCTTTTTGCAATAATGTTTTCTCAAAACTTTTAACAGATCATTAATAAAAAGTTGACTAGGTAAGTATCTATTACACAAATCTTGCAAATCTTCCACAAAAGTATGGGAATTTTTCCTATGACCTCCTGAATATTCTCCCAAATTTTCTGTAAAAATATTTTTATTATATGTTTATTTATTGGCTGGTTAGGGAAAGATAATACTTTGGTTTTAGCCTCAGAATTCTACATAGTCTTGGGTATTTTCTATACAATTTCTTACCTCAACGCCCATTATTTTGAGATCTGCATTAATTCTCCTCCGCTTTTGCCTCCGGGATAGGGAAATATATTTTTTTCTTCCATTTTATTATAAAAAAATGGAATCAAACTTAACTTAACTTAAAACACAATAGAGAGCACTCGACACAACCGTTTAAACGAGTTCGTTAGTAAGATAAAAAGGCTTCATAAATACTATAAAACATTAATATATAACATTTATATATCATTGTTACAATGTAGGTATAAAACATTGTTATATAGCCATGACATAATAGGGATGTAAATATAACAAGAAGGGATCATTTTGATATAACTATTATATTAAAATGTTTTATTATAATTATGTAACAAAATAAAGAAAAACTATGTAAATACCATATAATAAGGTTATATGGATACTATAAAACATTGCCATATATCAATGATGTATCATTGTTCCATTGTAGATATATAACATTGTTATATGGCTGATACATAAGGGGGATGTAAATATAACAAGAGGGGAACATATTTATATAAATGTTATATTACTATGTTTTATCATAATTATGTAACAAAATAAAGAACTAATATGTAAATGTTATGTAAACAATTTTATATGGCAATGTTCTTTGTTAGTTATATCATGGTTATGTAAATGGAACAGCCTGGTTTGCTGGGATATCAATCATGTTGTTTTTTATTGGAAATTGTTAATTAGTTTATAATACACATTTAAAAAAAAATCAAATTATCATCCATAAAAAAATAAATCCACAGAGGAAAAAAACAAGAATTTCGTTTTGACTTCAACTTTAACCTTGAATAACTTTATATTCCATGTATTCCATGATAATTGAAATATTTTATCCCGACCGATTTTTGACGGTAGGGATAAAAATTCCCGATTATCGTGTAATATCCGACCTAATAAATATATACCTACCAAATTTAATCCACCATAATAGATAGGTATACCTTACTATACTATACTTTTCTATATAGATAACAGTCGGGACAAAAATTTCGTTATTATGGAATGTCGCTAAAACTTTCAAAAAATTAAAAAATACAGTGTTTAATGTGTTATAAAATACATGTAATTCAAACATAATTATAACATAACATATTTAATTAAAAAAAAACTTAACAAATATTATAAAATAAAATCAAATTTCTTTTAGTAAATAAAAAAAAATTAACATAAGAAAAATTAATAATTTCATTGATTTTTTTTCTCTCGATTTTTACGACCACCATCCCACTGGCGGCTAGTCGTACCGATTCCACTTTGATTCCTCGATCCCCGCATGCTTCACACGTCACACACTGTAAACTGGTATTATTTTCAAAACAAAAGGAATTATTCAATAAGCTCGGTAGCTCCGATGGAAGAGCGCCCGCTTTGTATGCGAGAGATACCAGGTTCGATTCTTGGCGCCTACAACTTTTTTTTTTTTTTTTATTTATATAGCGAAAAGGATTATTATTTAATTTTACATTAATATTCATTTTGCTACAGTTATATAATATAATATGTAATTATATGAATATTCCTTCGTTGAAAAATTGGGCGGGGGGGGGGCCAATGGGGCGGGGTCGGTTGGGTCGGGTTGTTGAGTTTGGATTGGTTTCGAAGCTTCGCAAGAAGTAATTTTATACTTAGATTATTATAATAAACCCTACATTAAATGTCCGCGTGAAGATTGTCGATAACAATAAAAGTGACAGAACACTACCGCGCATGCGGGGATCGAGGAATCAAAGTGGAATCGGTACGGCTAGCCGCCAGTCCACCATCCCTGCCGATTGCTCCCCTTAACCATGCTTTTATAGTATTTTAAATATCTTTTGTAGTGGCTAATTCAAATCTTAGCCTAACCGTTTCTAAAAATTAATTAATTTTTACTTAAAAGTATCATTAGTAAAAGAATACATACCAATTATTAAATACTTACTTGGAAAAGGTACCACCTAGTTGTTTAGTTTATTAATAATTAATTATAAAATACACCTAAGTATTAGATAATTAATTAATATAGGTATCTCAAAACCTATATTATTTTTCTATATGCATAATACCACTAACATGAGGCAATTCATTAGTAAATATGGTGTAAAGCAAAGGAAAACATTTGGCACTGTAATGGTGTGTTACAGTTCCATTAACTTGATACTTATAATTGCCATATGTGGGCCTTTAATGTTAAATTATAAATATCATTGCCTGAAAAGGGCCATTGCAAGACCTTACCACGACAGCCTTTGGTCTAAATTGACATTTATTAACGAAAAATTCCTGTAGAGGCCCAGTACAAGAACAGCTTGGGTTAAAAATGCCATCATTTAACCATTAAACGCTGTAATGGGCCATTACATTACCAGACTTATGTGTTTGCTGGGGGATATTGGGATATCCCAAGGATATCCTAGGACGTCCTCAGACCTCCTTAGGACATCCCCACTAAGCAAAATACTGTTGGGCGAACGTTGCAGCGATGTTAACAGTAACGCTGTAACGTTAACTGGGGGGTAACATTAACGTCACTTAAACATTACAACAACGGTTAATGTCCGCCTCATGAACGTTTAAATGTTACATTGCAACGTCAACGTTGAAACAACGTTAAACCGTGCCGTACAGGTGCTATTAACTGATGCGTTGGCGTAACGTTAAAGTTAAACGTTAATTTACTGTTTTTAAATGAACGTTAATAAAACGTTGAAATTAATTGTTTTATTAACGCAGCTCTAAATGCCAATTCTTGGCGGGAAAGACAAACAAAGATATAGATTTAAAAAAAACTTGTTATATTTACTTCTTTCG